TAGATTGTTAATATAGATATTGAGTGAGGTATTAAAAAATATAGCAAGTAGGATAGATATAATTAACATTAATTCTATATAAGTAGAGTCAGGAGAAGGTTAGATTGCTGTATTACATTTGATTGAAGTATTTTCTTTACAGATTCATCCAATACTAGGCCTTATAAAAAATGTTTTTAGGTTTTAAATAGAAGCATTTGTATAAAAGTTAAGTTCAGTCAGATTTAAATTTTGTAGGATAGAGTTAAGGTTAATTAGTTGATTTTGGTAGTTGATAGAGTTAGTAGTTTGTTGTATAAGTTAAATATCTTGAGTATATAAGTTTATTTGGAGAGGTAATTAGTTAGAAGGTAGTATAATGAGATTGGTTGATATGTGAATTAGAGCTAAAATTTCTTTGTAGTCAATTTGTAGAATAAAGAGGTTAGTGAAGATTTTAATTGATAGTAGAGAAGATTAAAGCAGTTAAAATTTGTTAGTGATAGTAAGGTGATTAGTTTTAAATGAATTTGGTTTATAGAATACAGTAGTTGTCTATAGCATAGTATGAAGGATGTTGAATATTATTATATTGAGAAATGATAATATCTAAGTTATTTGTATAGTATAATTGAAAAAGTGAAAGTATTAAAGGTTAGGTGATGTATAAAAAAGGTCTAAAGAGTTTAAAAATAAGTTAATAGTTGGTAAATTTAGATAAGTCCAGATAGCAGAAATTGTGTTATTATGTACAGTTTGTTGAATTTAAGTAAATCAAGAAGGTTGATAACTTTTTGCTGATTTGTTTGTTTATAAATATATATTGCTCCAGTAAAGAAAATAAAGATTATCAGCAGTAGTGATTTATTCAATATAAAGGATTTTATTATTTTTAAGATTATTAAGCATTGAGATAGATGGGTTTGAAGAAAGTATGTTATATATTAGACAGAAATTAATTGGTTGTATTGTAGTGTTATTTGAAATTTGTATAATATTAAAAAATGTATATTATTTTTTGTGAGTTATGAAAGATGAAATATTAAAGTATAGTTATGTGTTTTATAATAATGTTTAGTAAGTATATTAGTTGATAATTTAGGATACCATATTTTGGTCAACTATGATTTAATATGAATAGTTCCAATATTGTAAAGAAATGTGTTAGAGTTAAAAATACATTTAATATTTGATGCAATGACTTTTTAAATAATGTTATTAAGTGTTAAAAGATTAAAAATAAGTGGGTTGGTCAAGGTAATATTGTTGGTATTTCTTATTAAAGAGAGCATCTTTTTTGTTTAAATAGAAAGTAATCTTAAAAGTTTGATTTGATTTGATGTGTTAATAGTGATGATTTGAAGAAGATATTCAAGTAAAGATTGTAGAACAAGATTGAAAAAAAGAGGATATTTGTGATGATAAAAATTTCTTGTATTTAATAAGTTGAAGGAAGTTTTCAATTTTGTTGTTGATCATATTCATAATAGGTTTAGTTGTACTATTGCCATCATAATATATTCCAAGATATCTAATTATATCTTTATATTTTTTTGATATAATTGGTTGGTTGTTAAAAGATAAAGAAAAAGAGAATGTATTGTAAGATTTTGGATATATATATAGTAAGTCTGATTTATTTAGATTGATTTCAATGTTATTAAGTTAATATAATAGTGATGTGTCATTAAGAATATTTTGTAGAGTTTGTGAATCTTCACAGTGCCATAATGTGTCATCTATAAAGGCCAGAAGAGGTATGGTAATTGAAGTAGGATTATTATTTTATATAAGATCTTTTAGTGATAAAAAGGAAATATAAAGTAGTTGATTATAATATTTTTGAGAAATAAAAGATAAAATAGGAACATAGTATATTTTCTATAATAATGGAGAGTATGTTTCTCTTTGTTCTATACCAGATTTTAGATGAACTGGATTTGAGAGTCCATAGGTTGTGATAACTTTTGTAGTTCAGTTTGTATGTAGTTCTGTGATTAGTTCTATTTCTTTTTTTGGAATGTCAATTCTTTTACAAGAGTCCTGAAGTTGAAGAATATTAATTTTATCAAATGCTTTTGACATGTCTTAAAAAAGAATCCAGGCTTCTTTATTATGAAGTTTATAATATTCAATTGTATTGTAAAGAATTTGAATAGAAATGTGAATAGATGAGTTTTTAGTTGCAGCAAAATTGAGATCTAAGAGTAGATTATTGGATGAGATGATTTTGTCTAAGCATTGAGTAAAGATTTTTGTAAGAGCTTTTTTAAAGAGTTAAATAATGAATATTGGATGAATTTAATTAAGGATAAAATTCCAGTTGAATTTCTAGACAATAGGGACTTTTTGTAATTGGAGACATTTGTTTATAAATTGTTGAAAGAGTTTTTGGAATTTAGAACTAACATATTTGATGTGTTTATAGGAAATTTTAAAGAGACCTACAGCTTTTTGATTTGGTAAATTAGTAATAGTATTATTCTATTCTTAGTCTGTTATTTCTTGAAAAAGAGTTTGATAATGAATTTCAAGTTCAGGATATGGTTGATATAGTTTATAGAATTCGAGAATGATAAAATAGGAGGTAGAGGTTTTTCATTAAAGTATTCAATAAAGTGTTGTTGAATTGCAGAACAGATTTCATTATGATTTATAAAAAATATATTATTTAGTAATAGCCAATCTATATATAGACTATGTTGTTTTTCTAGAATTTTTTTGTAGAAGAGTTTAGAAAAGTTTGTAAAAAGTTAGTTACATTCTTCTATTTTTTGTTTAATATCCTTGTAAATTGTTTGTTATTGATGATGGTTAAGAGCAGTTTTGACTTGGATAAATTCATTTTTAATTTGATCAAGAGAAAGTAATGTTGTTTGTAGAGAATTGTTAGGATAGTCTAATCAGTATTTTTGAAGTAAATAGTGATAGTTTAAAGAGTTAAAGTGGTTTTTTAGATATTGAATTTGTTTGTATTGATAAAATAGAAGTGACAGTTTAGGAAAAGGATTGTTATTAATTTCAGACATATTTTTAATATTTTTAAAGGGGATGTGTTTTGTTGCAACTTTAGTTAAGCCAAAAATTTAAAATATTAAATTAGAAATTGTTCAAAATTCTGTTAATGACTTAGAAAAACTTCAACTTTTAAAGTTTTTTTTCAAATTATCTCTTAATTTATTATTTTCAAACTTCTAATAAATGTGTCTTGATGATAATATTAAGCTTTATCAAAAATTAATATTAAAAACTTCTAACTAGTAAATACAATAAAACATATAAACAAATAAATAATTAGAAATTGAATAAAATAATATGCTTTATATTAACAAATTATAACAAATTGCAGTTTTTTTCAATTATCTAGACTACTATTATAAATGCAAAATATGCATATATCAATTTTTTCAAAAATTATAAAATGTGCTTATAGTGTTAAACACCATATAAAATTTTAACACCTGGAAAATGTGTACCAGGTTGAGTTTGAATGATTATCCAGATAATTAGATCAGAATTATAGTATTACCAAACTATATTGCTAAAGAAATTACATATTCATTACTGTTACATTTTATATTAATTTATGCAAAAATTAAAATTTTATGTAATAAATATTTCTAAGCTTTTCCTTTTGTGAAAAGGATTTGAAGTTTATTACAGACTCATATTTTAATATTATAAACCATTACTTCACTATTTTGCAAGCAAAAACTACAATATAAATTAGACCTAACAAACTATTGAATATATTGAATCTACTTACCCCACTTCAATAAATACTTATGTCAGTTTACAAGTATTGAGAGTTATGATGAATTAGAACCTAAAATCACTTTTAAAAATATGATAATTGAGAAAATTAATATTAAAGTAGATGCTTGAAGTGAGTTCATGGGTTTCAAGAAAAATCAACAACGCAATACACCTGATCAGAACTTATCTAGTTAAAGGAATCAAAATCATTTTTTAAAGAGATGAGATAGTAATTTTAGTAAAACCAAAAATTAATAAATATGAATAAAAATCTACATAATTTAAAAAATCAAAACACGAATTGTTTTACGGCATTGAAGTTAAAAACTTGTATAATTTGTCAAAAAAAAAAATCCATCCAAATTAGCAATAAAAAGCGAAAGTCTGTAACATTGTATAACGTTATAAAGCATATGAACTATTGTTTATTTAATTGAAAAAAAGCTTTGCATCAATAAGAAAACTTTATACAGTCTCATCTCTTTCTATGACCGAACTATCGTGAAATTTAAATATTTAAATTCATTGCATTCAGAGTCGACTGGATATATAATATATATATATATGGTTTTTTTTTTAATCGCCAAAAATCATTGCGTTAATCGAAATTGCTTAATTTTTAAAGTGATCACCCGGGCGATTATCCGAACCCAACCTGGTACACATTTTCTGGGTGCAAAATTTTATTATAAAATTTAGGATTAGGGTGCAGTTTTAGAATAAAGGAGAGTTTTTTATATTATAATGTAGATTATATATAAGGTCCCGATTTCAGTTCTCATGAGGTTTTCATGGGTCCTAAGCATTTTTACTTAGAGTACCCGATCCCGTTTACTTAGTGTGTTTTTGAGAAATAGCACTTACGGTGTTCAGCACCATAGGTGCATTTTAGTAAACTTTAATTTTTTTATTTCTGCAATATAAATTCTTATATAGCATATATTAGACCTGGATTTTACCAAGGCGTTTTAAAATTAGTGAAATGAGATATACCGGGTCACATTATTACATTATTAGAGTTGTAAAAGAGGTCTTAAAATATAAACATTTTTAAAAATAAAATGTCATTATAAATTATAAGTTCAAAATGGCCTTTATTATGAATATCGAGTTGAAGATAATTTCGAATATTTTGTACTCTAATTATATTTTCACATATTTCATATTTTTATATATTCAAGAATTACTTCATTCGAGTTTCATTATCTTATTAAAAATAAAGAATAAAGTACTACTACATTCATTTAAAATGACAATATTTAACTTCAAAATGAATTGTGCGATAAATTGGTACAATATGTAGGGTTGCTTGAATAACATGCACAGCCAATAGTTTCCACATAACCATCTGATTCTCTTGGTTTGCCAATATAGGCTAAAATTATAAGATCACTAATCTTAATTTCAATTTCACTCAGCATTGTAATATTTGTAATTACTTTAACTGTTTTTCCAACTGAGATTGGACACAAAGCTTCGTTTCCAATACAAATTTTCTGTTTATATTCGCATCTTTCAAGAGGTTCTTTACCAATAGCACCTTCTAATAATTTAATATAAATATAAGTTCCTGCAGTAATATCGTCTCTAAAATCACTAGAAACAGTAAGCGTGATGGGTTGTCCAGCGACAGGAGGTTTAGGGTCAAGTGTTAATTCAAGTTCAGCTCCAGATATTTTGGTAGCGCAGAATGTTTGAACATAAGCATTCGTCATAAAGAATGATGTTGATAAAATTAATAAAAGAATAAATTTCTGAATCATATTTTTATGAAATGGTCTGAGCAATAGCAAAAATATTTAACATTTAAATGTTTATCGTATCAAGTATTTATCATGCCACACTCGAATCATTAAGAAATATATCATGTTGATAGTAACCCATTTTAAAGACATTTAGAGTTAGGTGCAAAATATTAATTAAGCTATAATATAGATATATTTTAATTGATGGATTTGGGTAATCTGGTATTAGGGTTCTACGGGTGCCAGGCATGGGCAGAGGGACTATTTTTAATAGTCATGCCCGGCACCTATTTAGCCGACACAACATATGGTTAGGGTTAGGGCTAGTTGCAGATATATATTAATAATAAATTCTCACCTGTGTTCTGTCAGTTAAATGGCTTGTATGAAAAATGGCTGTTGTTTCCATATCCGTTTTATTCAAATATGTTAATTTGAAATAATCTCGGCAAGCCTGTGTGCATATTCATTTATCTGTTATTAGAGCTGCCAATTGGCAGGGTACCAGGAACGGAAAGTATGGTCGGATATTTCTTTTTATATACATTATATGATTACTTATTTCTATATTTATTATAGATGTGAGTTTATTGCACTAATTTTCAAGCTACTATAGTTATTCATTAGAAATTGTGTATGGAGCTTTACTGTCTATATGCAACTTGATTTTCCCTAATTTGCACTTCTCTACTTTTGTATTATGGTATTCTACCAGATGGTAGAATTAATTACGGCACAGTAACTGATTGCCGTAATATTATATGCCGTAATTCCGTATTACCGTAATTCCGTATTGCCGTAATGCTGTAATACCATAGTATCGAAGCAATTCTTGAATGTGTGCCAAGGATTGGCTAAGGCGTGGATCTGCAAAATTTTGGCCCGCATTACATAATTATTTACTAATTTCTGGCCAGAATTAACTTTTTAACGTTTTTATTCTCAAAATAGAAAATTTCGAAGTATAGACCCACATAATGGTCAAATTAGCCAATGAGCAATTTTTACTTAATGAGCAGCTGTGACTTCATTAGTAAATTTTGAGTAATTCTGACCAAATTTTTTGATCATCTCTCTTTTCCATGACAAGCCAGGTTTTGTCGATCATTGTTGTAACAAATTTTTTAAAGTTCATTAACAGTAGGGTTAGTGTTTATAATAAACTTAAAGACTGAATGATTATATAGTGAAATAGCTCAAGAAAAACTTTTTATTAGAGTCTAAAAGTGGTTCTGTATGTGGTTTTTTGAGAAGTATGCGATTTTTAACGAACGTTTGTTACTGATCGTATTACGTTACACATGATTCTTGAAGTATGATTTGTAGATGGGAGCTCTGCGCAACAATGATTAGACAGAATTTTTCATGCTTCAAGAATTGCTTCGATACTATGGCATTACGGCATTACGACATTCCGACATTACAGCATTATGGCATTGCGGAATTAAACTACCCGATAGATTTTCACTGATCAGCAATTTTGTTAAAATCATAAAACGTTACATTAACGTCAGGTTTATAACTATAACGATACTTGTCTTACACTAAAATTTTGCAAGGAATTTTCTTTACTAATGCGTAGAAGACGGTTACATAAATGAAATTTTGAGTTACAGCGGTTTTTTTAAAAAATGTTATTTTTGTTTTGATTTCAATTACACCTGATCTTTTAATACAATTGGTCAATCGCTGTTGATCAGTGACCGTTGATGTTACACGACTGATTATTCACCCGGTGTGCTACACATAAAAAAATGATTTTACAATACCAGATCATTCCGCTAGTCACATCGTTTTTATTATAGTAAAATGGTTTTGGAATATATTCATAACATGTACTAGCTAGGAATGTTAAAAGTCTGATCCGTCTGGTCCTGGTCCAGTCCTTAAAAAAGTCTGATCCTGAACTAGTTAGAAACTAGTTCATACCCCAGTACAAAATAAGCATAAAACTGGTCTAGTCCTAGTAGTTAATTATATAATTGAAACTTGTACATACATACACTTAATGTATTTTTTTTATTATAAGAAAAAAAAAACATATTACAATACTATTACACTAATTTAAAGAATCATACCAGATTTTTAAACACAGACTTGCATGTGCTTTTTCATCATCTAATCAGTTCCAGACTGCACTTAATATATGCTTTGTTACTGAAAAGGCTTGTTCACTTGGGATGCTTGTTGCTTGTGCAACAAGGTAATCATGAGTCATGTTAACAAGAGGTAATCATTGTAGATATGATGATTTTATTTTCCAAAAGTCAAGAGTATTTATGATTTTTTTAGGCATATTCAAGTACTTATCTAATATATTATTGTTAAATAACATATCATAATAGGTTTATTTTAGTTGAATTAGAAAGTAGTTGTTAATTAAAATTAACTAATTTAATTTTAGAATTTGTTTACTTGTATTTTTATTTTTTTTTTTATATTAAATTAATCTTTTTTGGACCTAGGGTTTTATTTAGTAAATTAGGACATAGGAACTCACAGCTGAAGTCTCAAAAAAGTTACCTTATATTAGAAAGTACAACTAGTCACATGTACACTTTTGATGTCTAATTTAAATAGTCTGCCAATGGTTCTACATTAGCTATCATACCTGTAACCCAATTAGAAGCATTGCTTATTTAAACTCTCTGTACTGCAACCCTTACTGTGTTACTAAATTATCTCTGATACAGATATCAGTTAAGAAGGTCTAAATACTTTTATTTATTTTACTTAGAACTTTATAACTTATTTTATGCAGTGTATCTTCAGAAGTATCATTACTAGAGCCTTCTGTATCTGATACATAACTGACCTAGTTTTATATAATACACTATAGTTACTTAACACTTGCAGTTACAGAAGTTATTTGTTTAATTATTATGTTTCACTATTTTTAGTCTTGTAAAGTTTACTTAAACCCTACTACTTATCTTTTTGACTTCTTCTCTTCATCCTTCTACTATTCAATTCAAAATCTGATAGACTTTTCAGACTTCAAATTCAGATAGCCTAGTGTGATATATCTTAGTATCCTTTTCCTCTGATGATTCCAGCAACCTGATTGATTATGTGCTCCTCTACACATCTTTCTATCCAACTATATCTGCTTATTCCTTATTGGGGATTTCTAGACTTTTATCAGTCTGATAGTACTGTTGAAGACTTATGCTATTTTTTTACTCTGAAATTTTCAAGTAGGCTTCTATTATCTCAGTTTTTTGGTCTTCTATATCTGGTGGTCTTATTATGAGTTTGCACTGAAATCTTATGTAACATTGGTTATTAACATTCCTCTATATATAATATTATACTTTATATAAATGCCTTAGGCTCTAAATAACAAGTAGAAACTGATTAGTTGTATTCAAGATTACAGATACCTAAATCCAACTAATTGACAAAAGATAGTTTACCATAATACAGATTAATTACTAAATTTTGTATAGATTGGATTTGAACTGTAATAATATTATAATTCTCCATAATTTTTCTTTTTCATTATTTTTCTAAGTCATTTCTTAATTACATGCTAAATTACTATAATTAATTTAACTATATTTGTTTATCAGTTTATTAAATATAATTAGGATTAATTTAGCAAATATAACATAGATAGATAAGCATTATTATAATTTATTTATTTCATCCTATAGTGCAATTTTGTTTATCAATGATGTAATTAACATGTGTATTAATGATTGACTTTGATTTATAATGATTTATATTTATTTTCTATTTTTATTTATTATTAATTATATGCCAGAATCTTCTGAATAGATTAGTAAGTCTTATAAGTAAACTAAGCTTCTATTTTTAATGTACTTTTATTCTTAAATTTATGTATTTTTAAAAATTATTTAAACCTGATAAGATTTCTTTAATAAAATTTTAAGTATTTTTATTGGCAAAATTATATACAAAGTACTTTGAATTACAAAAATCTTTACAACTTGGTAGTAGCAGAAAGCTTTACATCATACTATATACACTTTATTTTTAAACTACACTATCTTTTTCTTTTGTTTTTACACTTGTTTTTTTTATTTTTTGTTAGCTTTTTTCTTGTAATTTTTCTAAACAAAATGGTCACTTTACAAGACTTAATAACTGCTATTGGATAACTTGTTACTACACAAACTGCTTTAACACAACAACTTGGTTAAGTTCAACAATTGCAAGCACAACAACAAAGTGAAAATAACATTGTACCTACAAAAATTGCTGTAAAAATTCTTACATTCAAAAGTAAATCTACTGAAAATGTAGTAGCTTAGTTATTATAAATACAAACAATTTTTTTGGCTTAAGAACTTAAAGATAAACCAACACAGATCTACTATACTATTATAGGTTTCAAAAATGCTATCTTATATTGGTATTTGAATAGAGTTGTCTTAAATAACAATCAACCTCCTTTTGTTGATTGGGATGGGTTTGCAAATGCAATTAAGAATGTTTTTCAACCTCCTAACTATCAACAGTATCTTCATCAACAACTTAAAAAGCTTAAACAAACTGGAAATATAAGAGATTATACTATATAATTTCAAAACATTGTAGGTCAAATTACTGATATAGGTGTCTTGGACCAAGTCTCTTACTATATTGATGAATTAAAACCTGCAACAAGGATGAAAGTTGCATATAAAGCACTTGAAACTTTAATAGCTGCTATTGAATATGCAATAAGGTATGGTACTGCTATGTTTGAATTGGAAAAACCTTCTGGAAGCCAAGAAAAATACTTCAAGCCTACTCTGTCTAATCATACAAGCAACAAAAGTAATGGTCCTGTATCTATGGAACTTGATTCTCCTGAAACCTATAGGAAAAACTTTAATAATAATTTAAAAAAAGAATTTAAAAAAAGAACTTGTTATAAGTATGGCATAACAGGACATTATGTCAGAAAATGTAAAAAGGGTGGTAAAGCTAAGGTTGCTATTATGGAAAAAAAACCTGTAGTA